CACGCAAAAAGTATAGGGGGCCTGATCACGTTTCACGGCTAAGTAAAACAAGCCCTTCACGCTTCACGCAAAAAGTATAGGGGGTCCTCTCCTCTGTTACAATGTCTTGACAATTTGTTCGGCCAAAAACCGTTTGGCCTTGAAAATTTGAAATACCGCTTTGGTTTTTATACAACTTGAAGACAAAGTGAAAGAAATGGTTTTAGAACCGGTATATCTCACAGAAAAGCTCAGATATATTATACAGATGTTTGGTAGCATTGTAAGTGCTGGTTGACTGCAAATTCATTTGTCTTTCGTTGCAAACTTTTCTGAACAATTTATATTCTCAATGAACATGTTTTTTTCGCTGTTGTTCCGGTATTAATTCTTTAAAAACTTGTATTTAAACTAAATTCTATGTAATAAATGTATTTTGCAAGCCTGTCAAATTTTTTTGAGAGTTTTTCCTTGTACTATTGTCTTTCTCAAAGCGAATATTTTCCTTTTTTCTGCTTCGCAAAACTCGTGTAGTTTTTGGACCGCCATCTTGTTTTCCGCTACTCGCCGTATATGAGCTGATATACGGCAGGGCATTTTTTAAGAATTCGTCAGTGGGGGGGCCATCTACAAAAAGGGACCATACTATACCGAGTGTGGAGCAATGATAGATGGCTTGTTGGTAACAAAAAGTTTGGTGTGGTATCGCATTTAATAGTAGTGTGGGGGGGGGGGGTAGCAGGGCCGTAGGAAGCTCTTTTCGTTTGGGGGGGGGGGGCTGAAAGCGAGGGCCGAAGGCCCGAGGAAATTTTTAAATGTAGAGTCTCTGAAATGCCATTTCCTGGACTTTGGAGAAGATTTGACAGATTTCTGATTGTCAGAATACAGCGTTTTTAGTATGTGGAAATTTAGAATTCAGTAGTACTAAATGGACGAAGGTGTATTTAATTAACAATATATTGGATAAGTTGCAGGAAAGTACGGGTAATATCTTCATTCTTTGCAGTTTGTCATGGATTAAATAATAAAGGTCTGCATGATTTTAAAAATGCAGCCCCCCAGCCCCCCCCCCCCCGCGGTTGCTACGGCCCTGGAGAGGGTCTGCGGTTTTCTCCCCAGAAAATGTTTGTACTTTTCTACCCCTATGACTGCAATTCCCTGCATTTTCTGAAACAGATTTTTGGATATACAGCATTACATTATGCTGTAGATAGACTGAACCTTCAGTTAAGTACTTGCATAGTATGTTTATGTAGATACCACAACTTGGCCGTCACTTAGGGAGTCAGCTTGATAAACTTAGCGTTCCCGACTCCCACGAAGCGCCACCATGGTTGGCACAGAGTGGAAAAATTTTGAAAATTTTGCGTCTCTAAATCATCGGAAATGGCATTTTCAAAGTCTTCTATACGTCTTTTGTTTGGCCCTTTCATTAATTCGTTCATTATGATTTGTGAGTCTATGATATCCGCGAGTCAGGATGGATTATTACGAGAAATGTTATCAAAATATCGATTACAGATATTTGATTATATGTATATATGATTTCAAATACTTCTAGTTTCGAAATCAAATTGTTTTTTTTTGTGGGGGCCAAAATTATCCCCCCCCCCTTATAAAACACATGGTTGAGGGCCTGTTGCCCCCTGCGGTCACTAACTTGTCCAACAACTCAAACTCTATAGGGTCTGGGAAATGCAATCCACTGCCTGGGAAATGTTTAAAATCTAATAAGGTATTTATTAAACATAAACGACAGGACATAAGATTCACAAAGCAAATTTCAGTTACTAGAATATCAAACCTCCCTTCTAAATTCAATGTTTTGCTTATATTTTAGAGAAAAGGGACTTTGACTGGGGGGGCCAAAATGGTTGAGTGGGGGGGCCACCATGGGGGCTGGGGGGGCTTTGGCCCCCCCAGTTATATAGTTAAAAAATGCCCTGATATACGGCGAGTAATTCAACCAATCAGATTGCATAACAGCTCATAGTATACTATACTAGGATTGCATAACAGCTCATAGTATACTATACTAGTATACTATATATACACTATTATAATTTAGTCATTCACCAATGACTAAATTATAATAGTGTATATAATATACTTCAAACTCGCTCTGGACATAATGTTGTTACATCGCTTATTCGTTATCGTGACTTTTTTTATTAGAATGTTCATCAGGGAAACATGAAAAAAAATTTATGGCAAGTCCATTGCAAAAGTTATAAGGTAGATGTTCGATTGTTTCTCATATTAGCTGCACGCATCGAATTTTGAGTATTTGTGCATTGCATTTGCGCATTGCATTTTGGGTATATCTGTTGATTAAAATTGAGAATTTTGTAGTATACGTAACAATAATCGTTATGCATGTCAATTTTTCCCAACTTATAATAAAATAACTGGACCCCCCTTTCTGAACCCAATTTTTCGCTGGCCCCCCTTTTTCGGTCAAAAATACCTCATGACCCACCCCCTTACTTGCCCCCGGTCATAAATAATGAATGGTCCCTTAAGTCATCTGTGTTATCAGAAGTGCTTCTATATATTGTGCAAAAAAACTCGGTCAGTACGTTAAGAAACTTTTTACCATATCCCAATGTTCGCGATATTCGACCCTCGTGTAAGGCGGTCAAAAACATCAAGAATGCCTGTTTCTGAAACATCAAGTCCAAATATCTTGGGGATTTTAGAACTCTTTTCATGCTTTTAGCTAAATCAAAGTTCATGCATTTGTTTGAAAAAAAAAGATTTCATAAACACCACTGTTGTTTGTATTTTCAAGTCGCGTTATTTACATATACGAACAATGTAACACCGGGGATAAAACCCCAGGCAGTCATCAAAATTAAAATTGCCAAATATGGTTATATAGCCTGCTATAATTATTTAAGCAGCAGAGCTTTGGCAGTATTTGGGGGGGGGGGGAGAGTTACATGGTGAACCTAGAAATACGGGCAGCCAACGTTTAGCAGTATACGCGCAACCACACACAATTGAAAGTATTTAAAACTCTCGTTGATGTCGTTAGATAATTACGTTTAACACGGGAGCAATAATTATACCTACAAGGCCGAAGAAGTGTGTCTCAAGTTTTCGACTGTTAGTCGTGTTTATAAATTATACTAATGTTATTTATTAAAGACCATGTCAAGTCCGTTCTGCGCATCAGTTCTGCTCATAACAAATGGGGACCCACAGATATAAACATTGCCCAAATTTTGCATCTTTCGAACTTTTTTGAATTGAAACGTACTCTAGTTTATATTCATTTACAATAGCAAACCAGAAAAGTGTTAGATATTCAGTTAATATGTCTTATTTTACAAATATAGCAGTTCAAAATGTAAACAAATCCTTTGTTTACATTACGGAAAAAATCATGGTACTTACAGTGTCTGTCCTATTGACAAACAATACCATACTCATCAACGGCATGGTTTAAATTCTTCTTTCTTCATTTTTTCTTGTTCTCTTTTATCAAAAATAGATTTGCATGATAACTGAGTAGACAAACCTTTCATAAAGCGTGTATTATTCTATCATACGAATATTTAACAGTTATTCTACGAACTCGAGTCGAATATGAGCTGATAACCGATGAGGCGCGTAGCGCCGAATCGGCTATCGCTCATATTCGACGAGAGTGAGTGGAATAACTGTTTTATTATATACACAAGGTCTGAATTCACAGACTTTGCTTTTCGGAAATTTTCAATATTTTTCTATTTTGTTTATGTTTTTATCTTCGCTCTTTCGGCCGATTATTTCTTCAAAAATATATATTTTTAACCATTTTAAATTTTATAAATTCATTTGCTGACCTGTAAACAATTTGTGGGAATTTTTTCATTGTGTTTTTAATACTGTAGAGGCTACAAAAAGCGAACAACTTGCCGTTTTCTCGTTCGCAAAAATCGGAAACTCAGTTTGAGCCGCCATTTTGTTTTTCTCTACTACTAGGATATGAGCTAATATCCTGCTAGTAAGGAATCAATCAGATTGCAGAATACCTCTTATCCAGACCTTGTGTATATAAATGGTTGATGATGCCATCAAGCTTGTTACAAGTTGTTAAAAGCTTGTTTCGAACTTGTTACAGCAAACTGGGAACGAGCAGTGCGAACACAACTTGTTGACAACTTGTTTGCAGACTTGTTACAACTTGTGCGTTTTTACGTGTGTAGTATGTATGTCCTCCTTTCTCTATAAAACCATCTTCTGTTCTCCTTGTTCAACAATGTTCAATGTTTTCCGAACCGAGTGCATGACTTCATGACACAGCATATAGAATTTGAACTTTCCTGGTGCGATAAAAAGGTTCATTACTTTATTCTACATATTCATATAGATGTATAATATTATGACTATGTATGCAGGTAAAGCATCTATCAAATTTCTGGTTATAATTAACTTTAATGTATTATTACAATAAACAAAATATAAACCAAGAAACCGACATAAAAAATAAACCGACATAAAAAATTCTTGTCTGCTTAAAACACCCAATACATCTACGCTTGCCGAATCTTATCAAAACGAACTTTCTACATTGCTGGATACCTATGCACCTGTTAAAACCAAGACAGTAACACTACGTCCTGCTACTCCTTGGTATACACTTGAGATTCAAGAACAGAAAATCAGAAAGAGGCGCTTGGAACGTCGATGGAGAACTACCAAGCTTACAGTGGATAGAGAGGTGTACACCCAACAATGTATTGTTGTAAATAGGACTATCTCTGCAACAAAAACCAACTACTACAAAGACATGATAAACGACTGTGGCTCGGACCAAGGAGAACTTTTGAAGAAAATAGATAGGATGTTTAAAATGCCAGTAGAAGGAAAATACCCATCATGCAATGTGCTTCATCTGAACAGCTTGCAAATAACTTTGCAGATTTTTTCGACAACAAGATAGATTCCATCAAAAAGGATTTGTCCACAAAATCTGCAAATCTATTACATTCTCATATCATGGCGTCGCCAATTTGGGACTAGCGTTTGAGCAAATGGAGGCCACTGAGGTACACCCGGTAGGGCACAGGGAGGCGCAACACCATGAGCGACCGATGGACCCAGAGCTTAGCTTGCTGTGGAGGGAAACTTTGAGAATCAAACATCGTTGTAGACACGAACGAAGGCACAGCCGGCAACACCACCAGAAAGCCGGAGCAGGAACCAGCGATGGAGCTGAGCTGTTCGCATTCTCGGTGGAAATATCGGTGATGACAACAACACTCGAAGCTGCTAAACGCGGCGACAGAACTGGAGCAGTAGATGCGATCGCCAAAGCGACGAGTTGTGGCGTGGACGATGCCACCATCGTTGTGTTTATGCTAGAAGGACTAGATGTCTTTGAAGGCGAAGGAGTGAACCTAGTTTCAGCTTGGCTTATGTCTCATCTTGGCTAACCGGGCTCATGTAAACTGCCCTTAATATAGCATTAGTAAATGTTTGTGAGTCAAGTTGTCATGTGTTTATATGGAACGGAGACATCCCAAATACCAGAGTTAGCTCATTGTAGTGTTGTACCTACTACCAAGAATAATTTCATCCTTGTCTGCGCGTGAAAATTTTCAGTATAAGAGCTGTTTACATTCCCGTCTGAAAATGTATTACGGCACAGATAAAATGTACTAAATATTCATAACTAAATATGCATGTGCCTGTGCTTGGATAAAGGTTTGAAATGACTGTGTACCCGAGATAATCTTACTATCCGGTATATTGGTATATATACCGGATTTGACCTTTGAACTTTGTGAGCAAAGCTTTGGCAAATACCCATGTTTAAAAATATATTAACTATTTATCTAAAAATATGAAAGTCTAAACCTTATATCAACAGTATATAGTATTCGGCCGGATATCTTTCAACTATCCGACATAGCTGAAATTTGGCTGGATAGCAAAAAGTTCTATCTGGTGCAGCCGAAGAAATGGTTAGGTGGCAATTGTGACCAATGGTTTTATTTGGCGACCAGGTATTTCCCAAAGGTAGCCCTCGTTATGACTGAAAAAAAAAGTTTAAAAAAGACTAGTGTATAACTTTAAAAAAAATAATGAGTCAGGCTAATGAGGTTTTGGGGTGATAGTAGGAGTACCTACAAATTAATTTGGACTGTACATGGAATAATCCCAATTTTAATTTTGCAGCCAATTACAGTAGTAAAATAGAGGCCGTTCGACCCCCTTTTTTGGGGCGGCGCGGGGCGGCGCGGGGCGGCGTGGGGCGGCGCATCATCCTTAGCATACGTCATAATTACATGCAATGACGTCACGCGGGTAGGATCAGGCAAGTAATGACGTCACGCGGGCGAGCTTAAACACGATCGGGCGAAACTTGCTGACTGCGCATTTTTTAGCGTCTCTCCAGGTTTATGATACAATAGTTAGGTATATACACAAGAGAATATGTTGTTGTCTGGAGTTTTGTAAATACAGCTCTAGCAGTTTGCTCTTATTGTCAAGTGATTCCTTTAATTTAGCTCCTAGAGGAGTAAAAAATCTGATACTATATGAAATAGCATTAGTGTTATATATCTAAAACTTATATATTCGGGGTATACAGCTATATGTTTTGTTGTTAAGTAATACATAAATATTATCAAGCGTCAAAACGCTGAGAAATAGCATGCGGTAAATTAAAAGTTATTATGTATCTACAATTAAACTAATATTTAAATCCCGGTCTGCCATATGAGGTCTATATACGAGAGAATATGTTGCTGTTTAGAGTTATATAAACACATGGAAATTAGAGGTTATGATATATAATTGTCAAGCCATTTCTATATTTTATTGCTAGTTTTTTAAAGTACTAAAACTGGAATAAGGTTAATAAATTTAAGCTATATTAAAGCACACCGGTTGCTATGTGTTGTTAGGGTGACACTAATTAAAGGATTAACTTTTATCAGAGATTTGCATTTTTCTACTGTGTGGATAAATACGGGTAGATTAGGATATTCATTGCGCGGGCGTCGTGGGTTATCCGTGCGGGAAGAGAGAAAGCGATTTAGACAAGACAGGAGCGCTTTGCAGCCAAAAGTTGAAAGACTTTGTGTGGAATCCTGTAATGGTTGTCAAGTCGGTCATCCTAGTCAAAGACAACATGACTGCCGCATGATGAACGAAAACGAACGAGGGCATATAAGGAATTTATTCGTCACAAAAATCATATTTTAAACATATTTTAGACATATTTTAAACTAAACAGTTCCTAATCCCGAGTTGTCAACGTCGTTGTTAAGGTCAATATTTACATGTTGTTCAACGTTATTTTAGCAAATATTCTACATACATATATACTGTTAAAATTATCATAAGTAAGCTTATCAAGAATATAAGTTAGAATTGGAACAGTTGTAATATATTTTGCGATAAAAACATGTAATCGTCATATACGTTGTTATGTGTTACTAAGCCATTAGCGACGCTTGCGTGCATGCATATATTAACGTACAACATATTTGTACACTAAGCAGGCGGGCGGATCGCGCGGGCGGAAAGAGCGGGCTTTGCCGGCAAAAATTACACATTATTTCAGTTTTTAAGCACATTTATTTCTTCAAAACGTTTTACAAAATTATGCTTCTAATATATATCGTCACTTGTTTCAGGGGTTTCGCTATCAGATTCTTCATCATAGCTGCTTTCATCATCGTGGCTGCTTTCATCTTCCGTAATCCATTTGGTATGTCTTGGGACTGTTATATGAGAACACAGTTTTAACCTCTTTGTAGTTGATAAATTCCTTATCTTTATCTTCTTATCTTCCTTATCCCTATCTTCTTATCTTTATCTTATTATCCTTATCTTTATCTTCCTTATCTTTATCTTCTTATCCTCATTATTCTTATCTTTTATCTTCCTTATCTTTATCTTCTTATCTTTCTTATCCTTAATAAGCTTCCCGCTATGTTGATATGTTCAACACAACTTAGGCTGGGAGCCGAGCTCCATAGGCTCGCAGCAAAGCTCCTTAGGCTTGGGGCCGAGCTCTTTAGGCTCGGAGACAGCTCCTTAGGCTCGGAGCCGAGCTCCTTAGGCTCGGAGCCAGCTCCTTAAGCTCGGAACCAAGTTCCTTCGGCTCAGGTGAAGCTTCTGTAAAGCTTCTGTGAAGCTTCTGTAAAGCTTCTGTGAAGCTTCTGTGAAGCTTCTGTAAAGCTTCTGTGAAGCTTCTGTGAAGCTTCTGTAAAGCTTCTGTAAAGCTTCTGTGAAGTTTCACTCAATCTACGATTCAATGATTCAATCTTATGATTCAATGATTCAATCTTATGATTCAAAGGTTCAATCTTATGATTCAATGATTCAATCTTATGATTCAATGATTCACTCTATGATTCAATGATTCACTCTATGATTCAATGATTCAATCTTAGGATTCAATTATTCAATCTTGGGATTCAATGATTCAATCTTATGATTCAATGATTCAATCTTATGATTCAATGATTCAATCTTATGATTCAATGATTCAATCTTATGATTCAATGATTCAATCTTATTATTCAATGATTCACTCTATGATTCAATGATTCAATCTTAGGATTCAATGATTCAATCTTATGATTCAATGATTCAATCTTATGATTCAATGATTCAATCTTATGATTCAATTATTCAATCTTATGATTCAATGATTCACTCTATTATTCAATAATTCACTCTATGATTCAATGATTCAATCTTAGGATTCAATGATTCAATCGTGGGATTCAATGATTCAATCTTATGATTCAATGATTCAATCTTATGATTCAATGATTCAATCTTATGATTCAATGATTCAATCTTATGATTCAATGATTCAATCTTAGGATTCAATGATTCAATCTAGGATTCAATGATTCACTTTTTGATTCAATGATTCCATCCTGAGATTGAATCATTGAATCATAAGTTTGAATCATTGAATCATAAGATTGAATCATTGAATCATAAGATTGAATCATTGAATCATAATATTGAATCATTGAATCATAAGATTGAATCATTGAATCATAGAGTGAATCATTGAATCCTAAGAGTGAATCATTGAATCATAAGATTGAATTATTGAATCATAAGATTGAATCATTGAATCATAAGATTGAATCATAAGATTGAATCATTGAATCATAATATTGAATCATTGAATCATAAGATTGAATCATTGAATCATAAGATTGAATCATTGAATCATAGAGTGAATCAGTGAATTCTAAGATTGAATCATTGAATTCTATGATTGAATCATAGCC